TGACACAATCTCAACTATTTAACTGTTTTGTTGGTTGCTTTTACAATACCAGGATGGACACACACAGACACAAAATAATTAATTTATAAATAATAAAATAATATTCCAGAACACCAGTTGTCATTTGACTCACAGTTGGGGGGGGGGGGGGGGGAAGGGGGATCAGTGAGTTAGAATAAAACTGCCATTTTGCCAGGAAAACTTGATCTAGGTCCTGAGCCACTACTTAAGTTAAGTAAACTAAGGGGGTAAAAATGTTTCTATTTTCAGAAAAAGAACTACCTTTAAAATTGCTTACTACAGGCTGGATTTGCTAAAAACCTCAACAATATTCCGTGCTTATTGTATATTTTGCCAAAAAATAAAATGAAAAAAAAAAAATGGGAATTTTTTTTTCTTTTAATTAAAGGTTATAATCAAAACTTGACAATTTAACCACCAAATACCTTTATTTAAAAAATAGAAGTTTCAATAGTGAAGCTCTTCCAATATGCTGTTAATTTTTTATGGAATAACTAGTTAATTATCTTATATTTAGCTGCCCAATATGCACCTACGACCAAATTATTCGCTGATCTGAACACCAGGTGTACCTAACAGAGGATCATTCACCACAAGGTAAAGCAATTAATAAAAAAAAAGGTGGAGTAGACATACATAGAATTTATTTATATATATATGCTACTGTGCTTTGTGCTATTCCAAAAAAGCGTAAGCTCACAAGGCATTGTGGGAAACTATCATATATAACGGTCTATTTCAGGTGTTTTTCTCCTCTAAAATAGCATCCTATCAAGTAACCTATGTCTGGTCATGTATCAGTTTTAGATCCTGCTGATTCTCTCACCTCAAAGAGTTTCTCAACTATTCATACTGAAACCTGGTTTACTAATTACCTAACATACTACAGGGAGATATCTATTACACGGGTTGATGTCAGTATTTAGCAATCAAATTTAAACAATGTTTTTAATTATATCCTCGAATAATTTTGTTAAATAAACTAAAAAAAAACTGATTCAAAAGTTAGAAAAGTGAGATGATTTTATTTCAGAAGGTTCACTTTTGTGACTTAAAATTTTAGATAAAGTGAGTTTTTCTGAAAACTCAAAGTAACTACTGTAATTATAAATTCAAACACAGAAAAGTTACAAAGATAACAGATAACAAGAGGTACAACTGAACTGAATCAGAAGAAAGCAATGTTAAGTGTTACGGAGGCGTCCTGTAACCTAAGCCACTGATCTACAAAGTAAAACTAGAGGATCAGAGAGGCGATACCGCCTCCGAATATTGTACCACCAGCTGGAGCAAGCGCATTCGTATAGACCCCCACATATACAAAATAAGGAACACAGCCACCAGTCTTGTGCTTGACAAGCTGTAAAAATGCAATCAACAAGAATTTTCAAAATATGCAAAAAATATATATATAACTAAAAATGGTACAATCAAAGTTAAGTTCATCGTAAGGTAGGTCAAAGGTAAATTCCAAGGTCACAGTAAATTGCCAGTATATGACTTCCTATTCAACTTCAATAGTAACTATGGGCCTATCTCTGCCAGGTTTGGAGTTCAAAGAGAAAGAAATTAGCAGAGTTCAGTTCATGATAATAAGTAGGTCAAAGGTCAATTT